TTGATTTCTTTTAGCTGTTTTTTGGAAAGTCTCAAAATTTCACTGTTGCAGCACCCTGGGTTGGCACTTTCACTGAGCTATCCACTATGACCCCCCAAGATCTTTTTCCCTTTCAGTGTCAGCATGTTTAGACCCCAATAGCCTATACTTGAATTTCACTACACCATCACATTGCTAGGAACTTTGGAACCAATACAGGAACAAATCACTCAAAAACTCCATCGTAACAATAAAAACTTCTCTCCTGGCCAGAGATCTGATCATAAGACATGCACTCAGACTGAGCAGTTCATCACGAGACATGCATGAAGTCAACACACAGTACGATCCAGCGTTTCACACTTGAAAAACAGCTGTAGCTATGGCTAAACTTCATAACTGCTGAAAAAACAGGATATGACATGCAAAGTTTCTCAGAAACAGTACACTGTGCAGAGCATACATGCACTCTCCAAACACATGTAGCTCTCCAATAAACAAGTCAATCTGTAGCCAAAATTACCCACAGTTCATGGCATAGGTCTAATGCATATTAATCTGATAGTTATTATGTGTGTTTTGAAAGGTTCTTTGAATCCATAAAGATATGACACCATCTTTCCCAATGCCTTGAAACTTATTTCACAAGACAATTTCCCTTGGTTTCACCACTGCTGCTGAATTGATGTTACATCCAAAAAGCAATGGAAAGCCTATTGTGTAATTGTATACTATGACAATGACCTAGCCACAGAAATTCATGCCATAATCTGCGGTCAGACGACAGACTTGGTGCAGTCTGGCCACACCTCTGATTTCTCTGGAACTATTTGTTCTGGAGAGTTTTCACCCGACGTGTCACCCTAATCTCACCTCACCCCATGGTAGACTGATCAGAGTACTGCTGCACGGTCACCATGGAGTGGGCAGGCAGCTTCTTCTTCTTCTTTTTTTTTTTAAAGTCTACTTTGCGCATGTGCAGAACCGCTTATTTGCCGGGGCAAATATGCGGTTATGCGCACATGGGGGGGGGGGGAAATGGTGGTCAGGGAGCGAAAGCCACAGATCTCCCAAATGGCTTGAGCTCACAACAGAAAGATCAGAGGGCCAGAAATGTGCGGTGAGAACAACTGGATTCGTAATTACCGGACTTTTTCTGGTGTCGGAAAGTTGGTGATGAGGACAGGAGGCTGACGACTGGGGAACGGAAGACAGATGTCACTGTCTGGGTGTGCACATTAAATCCAGTAGGGAGAAGCGATAACATCAGGTCAAACAGCCCATCTGACTGCACCCATAGTTACTTCCAAGTTAGACTGTGTAATGTGCTGTCTCTTCAAATGGTGTCAAGAAATCATACCTAGTTCAGAATTTAGCATTAATTTTTTTTAGTTAGCTGGCCCCGATCAAACATATCATATTATACCAGTCCTGGCTGCCAGTTTGTTTCCAGGTCCAAGTTAAAGAGCTTGTTTTTAACATTTAATACCCTCAAGGGATACAGGCCACTTAGAGCCCCCATATGGGATAGTGTTATGCTCCAGAGGCTTTGCATACAGTAGAACTGAAATTCAGTCCCTGGTATCTCCAACTGAAAAGTCTCAAGTAGCAGATACTAGGAAATGCTTTGCCTACCTGAGCTGCTGCTACTGCCAATTGGAGGAGACAATATGGAGCTAGGTGGACCAATTGACACAATTGACCATTTATTGCCATATGAATCTACACACTTATAAAGATCTTCCTCAGAGTCCTCCACTGTCAAAAATTTCAGCAAGACTGTGGAAGTCTCTTCTAAGAGAAATTTGCTCTACTTGTCCACTCTTGGCCTTCAGGTACCAGGACAGCTTTTGAGGTTCCCAGTTAGATTTATTTGTAGGTGTTATATTTTGTTCTGTGTACTGAGTTCTGTCCCATTTGTCTCATTACCTTGGTTAGTTCCGTTATAGATTTAATTCTGTTTACATGTTTTAACCAGCATTATTTGGTTTAAATTGTAATTGTTTATAGCCACCTGGCAGATTGTTCTAAAGTCACAAGGTAGGATAAAAATATAAAATAAATACACAGAGACATTTAGATGACACAAGTGAAAGACTGAGCAGAAATACAACAAACAAGAAAATATCACCAACTGCGAAGCTATCTAATTCTTTTGTTTTTGGCAGGGTTTAAGAGGCTCGACACCAAAGCATCAGGCTTTAGCCTAGGCCTTCTATCGTAATTGCATGCAATATCTTCAGTATGAGCTGCTGCCTTAGAATTAGTCCCACTTTGAAACAGACTGAAAGAAGGATGCATCCCCCCCAAAGTGGAAAAAGTTCAAACTGCCTGTCCTCCTTTCTCTGCTATAAACAGGATGAAAAGACAGGATGCAGAAGGAAACTTAGTTTGACCTGGATTTCCTGCTAAACACACACGGTGCATCAGATCTCTCCATCTTGTGCCTGAGTAAACAATTCAAGGAAAGTGGCCATGATGCCAGAAGGGGGGTCCTGGGTATCTAAGCTTCTCCAACATTTTTCGTTAAATGGACAATTACACTACTTGTTATAACAACAGAAGCTTGCAATACTCCTCTGAGACACTATTTCACGTAATTTAGTCTATTTAACGTTGCTTTACAGTAGGTACTTAATATTCCCCTTTAGTTTAATGCCAAGTGTTATGGTACCTTTTGCAGTACTTGCCCACTGGAAATTGGACCGAGACCACCAACTCATTTCTCATGAAATAGGAACAGATGGCAGCAGCCCTGAGTCAGGCAGAATCCTGTGTTTACTTGCATGCTGATGCACAGATGTGCAACCTCCAACCACTGAGCATGGAAAACTGTTGGCTCTCAATGCCAACACACAAGAAAAAACAGAGCTCTCTTTTTTTCCTGACCCTTCTTTAGGTTATATACAAACAAACACACACAAACAAACAAATCAGTCAAGTAACCAACATTCCACCACCTCTTTAAGAGTCCTGGGGCAGCTGGTATCTTTAAAGTCTGTGAAAGGAATTTGGCAGGAGGTACTTGAATACCACCCAATTCTCCAATACACTGAGTTCTTAGCTCTAAAAGCATAATGACAATTGTTGATGCTTAATGCTTAGCTATGCTTTTAGAGACAATTCCCCTTAAACCACTTACTATGAAAACTTCAGAGCTTGTGACTAGAACTTTTCTCTCCTCAAAAGTGTGAAAACTAGACTTATGCTGTTTCCACACGACAATTGTCCTTAACTCTGCTATGATCTCATGCCCCCCCCCCCAATCCCAGTTACCTATCCAGTTCACAACTGCATGGGGACAAAAGCTATCTATTGCTGATTTTTTTCTCTAACAAGTACTTTGACAAAGACCTCCTAGGATATAGTCTGGAAGCCAAACTTTCTTGAGGTGGGGGGGGAGTGTGAAATCTGTACAATTTGGCAAACTCTGTTGTAATACTCAGATGAGTGCCCATTTCAATATGGCAACTCAGACAGTGCAGGATAAACTTTATCTTCACATTTACTCTCAGACATACGATAGAGTAGAGAGACCTGAGTTTGGATTTCATAAGATCCCATCATGAAAAAGCCATCTATTTTTACGGGCCCTTAGACATTAGTATTATTGCATTTTAATCCCGCCATTCTTCAAAGAGTTCAGGGAGGCATGCCGTGTTCTTCCTCTCCAATTTTACCCTCATAATAACTCTGTATTGCGATTTAATTGAAAGAGAGTGACTGCCCTAAAGTTACTCAGTGAGCTGAGCAGAGATATAAAGCTGAGGTTCCCCAGTCTTGAGTCCAATGCCCTAGCTACTGCCTCTATTTTAAATGATATGAACTACAGAGAAATGTTTTTGGTATGGAATTTTTTTAGCTCATTGTGGTTTAGTTACTTAGATTTTTAAAATCTTCATTCTGATCCAAGAAATGTGCCCTGGAAGGAACTTGTGGGTTATGTTGAGGGCCTTCAAGCTGGAATACCCACTGCACCTAAGCTTCCACTGGCATCCAAAGTATCCTACAAATATTTAAGGTACTTTTCCGCAACTGAAATCAGAGTACTTGAAAACACATTGTTCAGATGTAGGATGCATAAATAGAAACATTTACAAGAATCCAATTCAATTTGTTTGCACTAAGAAAGAAAACAAGAGGGTCCCATAGTTCTACTTAGGCAGGAAATAAAAAGATTGTTTTGCACGCAGATTTTTACAAGCTTCTACAGTATGTAACTGGCTAGACTGTCATCTAGGGAACAAGGCTAGCAGTAATAAATCAAAATGTGACATTTGACAAGTGCAGGTCTAAATCATGTTTCAAGTTCTCAGACTGGCATGAAATGCCCATAACCTCTGATAGTTTTAAAATGACTTGCCCTCTTTAGACAATATTCTCCTATTTAGCTGCCTTGAGGGTATTTCCCATGGTTAAAGAGGAAATCCCTCTTTCTGCACATCTTTTTATAACTACTACTGATACATAAAAGTATCATTGGGATTTACTTGCAAGATTCCGAATTAGGCAGTGAGACGTGAGCTGCCATTTTCACTTACTTTCTATAGGGGAGTTTTATTCTTTAGGTAGTGTAAAACTATGAGTATTACTCTCATCAGTCTTACACCTTCCATTATTACTTACTACACACACACACACACACACAAAGTGACAGAAAAGGATACAATATAGAAAAGGCCAAAGAGACCAAATACAGAGGCAGGACAACAAAGAAGAAGAGAAGAGAAGAGCATGGATTTATACCCCGCCCTTCACTACCCAAAGGAGTCTCAGAGTGGCTTACAAACTCCCTTCCCTTCCCCTCCCCACAACAGACACCCTGTGAGGTAGGTGGGGCTGAGAGAGCTCTGACAGAAACTGCTCTTTTTCAAGAACAGCTGTGCCAGAACTATGGCTTCAGAAACATTTCATGTTATTTTAAAATATGTGTTTTATAGGAATATGTGAAAGTAAAATAATGTGATGTGTATTAATACTTCTATGTAATATTTAATTCACAACGAGAGAGAAAAACTTACTTTCTTTCTGTTTCTGGGGTTGATACAACACTGCTGAAGCCAAGGGATTCCTGTAAGAGAAGATGTGTGACTCTGAGTTCAGAATGAACAACAACGGGCTTTGTTATCTGACTGACAGAGAATACCAGAATGATGGCAAAACCCAAAATAGATCATTGCCTTCATTGTGCTTACTTCAATCTGGGATCGCAGCTGTAGAGATGTGGAGCTGGCATCACATTTCTCCTAGAAAGGAACAGATGTCAAGTTAATGTAACATCCAAGTCTGGCAGCACTGACAAGCAAAGTAACAGCAAACAGCAAGAGAAAAGAGGATTAAAACAGGCAGCAGGATGGAGACTGGGCAGTTAGGGAAACACTGGACTGTCTAAGTCTGAATGGGCCAAGGGACTTGATTGGAAATCACAAAACCATATACATACAAACTCTAAACTAATTTAAAGGAAAACATAAGGTGAGCATATGTTCCTGGTAGAAATATCAATGCACACTACATAACATTTCATTAGGATTGCCAAGTTCTACTTCCCTTTTCCTAGTATTTCCATCTATCAGCTTGTATTTTTCCTGGAAATAAAAATGCAAACTATCTTGCAATATATGAAATCGCCACTAGATGGCTCTATGTGCTCTCCAGCACTAGATATTACACTCAATAATGGAGAGGAAATGGTAAATTTGGGCAAACAGAACTTTCCTGCATATAAATCCCCTTGGCATCAAACTATTCTCACCTTCACTATGGATAAGTTCTGTTTGAACACTTGTTTTATTACTAGGACAATGAGATTGTTTCCTTTTGCCTTGGTAACCCCTCCCCTGCTTCCTCCTACATCGTGAATGCTCAGATTAAAAAAATTAAAAGGTCAAAGACATCAAAAACTCATAGCCAATATAAACTGAAGCACAATGTTGCACTTACACTTTAACCTCTCCTGTTACTGCTAGTAACATAATTTGCCGTTCGAGAATTCACTCTTACAATTTTGAATTACGTATTATTAAAACATAATAATGTGTTCAACATGTTAACTGCTTTAAGCACTTTAAAATGGCAAATATCGGTAGCATTATCAATTATTATGATGATTATTATTAGCAGACTGCCCGGCAGATGCTTCCCTTCTGTCCACTGCCTCCTCTGCAATCCTGGCCAAAGTCAATGCCTTCCTGCCCCCTTTCGTTGAGTTCTCAGCATGCAACGGCCCATCACTATAGCTGTATAACCACAATAATGGTATAGTGTATTTTCTAGACATAGAGGGAAGACGCACAGGGCCTCTTTGACATCAGCAGCCGTTAGCTCAGACCTTTTTGCCCCTTTCATTAAGCCTGAGTTGAAAGGCGAAACTGGTGTCTATCACAAAGCATACTACATTTTCTCCATGTGAGGGGGGAAACATTTGGAAGCTATCTTGTAAGTGAAGTGATACAGCCTCTTCCGCGAAAACATATTATTATCCCCTCATTCTCAGCTTTAGACATCTCTCCCCTATATGCCCTGACAAAACAGTCGGAAAGAAAGAAACAGGCAAGCACAGACGTGTGGCAGTATTGCATGAAATAAGCAGAGACCCATGTGACTCGTGGGGAGAGGATCGCATCCCTCCCCTCCTTCGCTTGCCTGCCCTCAACTCTGCCTCCTCCTCATGCCTGGCTAATGCAGCTGCTCAGATTCCTTCCCACACAGGCAAACTCACGGGGAGGGGGATCTCGTTCACCCTCCCCCTGCTCTGCCTGCCCACCTGCCGTTTCTACACTTGATCTTAGCCAAAAGGCCGAGAAGCTATTTCCACAAGTTTGTCCAGCTGTCCGACCATTCTAGGAGCTGCGGTGGTTTAAGTGGTTAAGACGCTGAACTGCAGGCTGTGGAAGGTCAGTAGTTCAGCAGTTTGAGACCCGGGTGCCGCATGATGGAGTGAGCTCCCATCTCTAGTTCCAGCTCCTGCCAACCTAGCAGTTGGAAAGCAAGACATTGCAAGTAGATAAATAGGTACCACTTCGGTGGGAAGGTAACAGCGTTCCGTGCACCTTGGTGTTTAGTCATGCCGGCCACATGACCATGGGAACGTCTTTGGACAGCGCTGGCTCTTCAGCTTTGAAACGGAGATGAGCACCGCAACCCTAGAGTCGGATTTGACTGGCTTTCGAGCAAGGGAACCTTTACCTTTACCGACCGTTCTGCTGCCCATCTGCCCACCCTCATCCCCTGTCCCCCCATTCCTCTGTCAACCAGTCTGTTTTCCTCCCTGCTACACTGTGGAGAGCAGTGGACGGGGGTCAGGGCGGCAGCAGCAGCTCCTGCTCTTATCTGGCTCAAGTAGTGGTGACTTGTCCCTCCAATGTCTCCCAATGTGGCACCAGAGTGCATGCTGCCGGGTCGTCAGAAGACCATTTTATGATCACGGAGGGCTCCTGTTGAACTGTAGGAAGCAACCAGGCCTGGATGAATCATGCAAGTTAGGCGGTAGTAAGTCTCCTGGCCTGGTTCCATTGGGTCCTCCCTTAAAGGCCAAAACAGACCTGGAAATGGTCCTGCTTAGTAATGGTTATAAACCCACAAACGAACCCCGGTTCGAGCACGAACCAGGCCGGTTCATAGTTTCCAAACCAGGGGTTCGGGAGAATGTGCCTCCCACGATCCACCCACAAACGTCCATGGAGTTTTGTGAGGTTTGGGGAGGGTTTGTGCGAGCTCCAAAGGCATTTAAATATCTTCGGAGCCTGACTGCAAGTAAGCTCTGAAGGCATTTAAATGCCGGAGCCCACCAATGGCCCCATGGCCCAACCCAAGTGAACTCCACCTCCCCATCTTTGGAACTCACCTCTGGGTCAGGCTGCCCTGACTAAGCTCCCAGAGTGAGATCCAAAGGCCTTTATAGGCGTTTGGAACTCGCTCTGGGAGCACAGTCAAGTCAGGTGGTCCAACTCAACTGAGCTCCCAGGGCAAGCTCTGGAGGCCTATAAATGCCTTCAGAGCTCACTTCTGGGTGGGCCAAACTCCCTGAACCTTGAAAAATGAACCAGTTTGTGCAATGGAGGAGTTTGTTGGAGGTTTATGGTTTGGGGTTCATAAAAACCCCAAACCACGAAACTCCAACAAACCTCAATTTTCCCAGTTCATGCCCACCCCAGTCCCGCTCCTCCACCTGACTTTTCCTGACAGAAACCCATGCCTAAAGGCCAGCAATACTGTTGAGGCTACTGAGGACATTCATTTCTTACAGACACAGACATTGTTTCTTCTTTTTAAAGATTTCAGGTTTTTCTGAAAACTTAGGGCATTTTTCAGGTTTGCACAAATTTCTGTTTTGTCTGTCCATGGCTGCAATCTTTGGATTTACACATCCACAGATTCGGCCATACTGAGAATTAGATGTATTGATTTATTTAATACAACTCTACACCATGCTCTCTAAAGCTTTCGCCTGAGGTGGTTTTCAAAACAAGAGCTAGATACCATTATTGTCTCTTCCTCAGTATCAGGATATTCCTGGGCAAACACCCTCTTGTGGTTTGTTATTTCCCACTTTGAACTTTGTATATTGGTTAGTTTAATTTCAATGAATTTTCAAGAAGTAAACAAAGCAGCTTGCAGTCTTATGAGACACAAGGTAAGACAGTTTGACTCCATCCTTTTGTATGGGAATGAAGAGTCTCTGCAAACGTGGGAGAATAGGAGCGAATAGAACAAAAACAAGCATATTAGCCAATCATAGTTACAGCCTCCTTATTCTCTCTCTACCACCTACTTTCCAGCACAATTATTTCCATATAAAACAGATGTATGCAGGCCCCTCTTCCTTCATTAGTCTGACTAAACCCGAAGCCAAATGAGCTTTCCAGCTGGAAAGGCAACAAGAACACTGCAAGGTTCTCCCATGAGCATGCTTCATGACACGAAGGCCAGAAAGGAAGGAAGCAGCCGTGTACCCAGGCAGAATATGGCTCAGTTGTGCCAGCTTCTTCTCCCCTATCCAGTGACACACAAACAAAACACAGGGAACATTTTTACCAGTCACCAAATTGCAAAGCTGCTTGCATTTAGGGACCAGAACCTGCTGGTCTGTTCCATGGCGTTGGATTAGTAAATATTTAGCTTTGCTTTGCTTATTTGGTATTTAAAGAAAAGTTGCCCTGCAAATGCCTTGCAAGTTAGCTGTTTAGAAACTGTCCCCTTTTCATCTCTTTTAAGGGATGATTTGGTTACCCAAGCTGACTGTGAAACAAGAATATGCACAGTAGATTCCATTGTCAATGGAAGGTGGAGAGAGTCTCCCCTCCCCCTCCTGAATTCTCTTAGGGAGAGAGTACCAGCTGCATCCTGTGTTTAACAAAATCCAGATTCTACTCTGCTTCACTTCTCTTATTTATGCTATGAGCAGCTTCTCTCATCCCTGCATATAAAAAGCCACACTGTTCCTTGGAAACTTTGAAGGGGAAAATCAATCAACGTCTTCATTTAGCATTTCAAACAAATCACGTTTTGTTGACAAATAAGTAAAAGCATTGTTAAGGACTCAGGGCTTTCGTTTGCTGTAGTTATGTTTAGGTTTTGATCCTATTTTAATGCTTGGGATGTGAATATATCAGCAGGACTGTATTCTGTAAATGAAGGTTAATTGTGTACAATCCTAAAAAATGTCCACCTATGGAAGTTTCAGTGTATAAACAAATTATTTATTATTGCCAGAAGTTTTTAAAGGGGTCTGTATTTGAAGCCTATAGTACAACCTCTATAGTATGAAGCAAGCATTTATAAATTGGGTCAAAGCTTTGTTATCCTAAAGTACATTAACTTTTAAAATATCCTATACTGTATTTCCTGTACTATTATTGTGGAACCTTAATTTCCCCACACTGGATGAAGTTCATTTGACTGAACAAAAAATAATCAGTTCTGCCTCCTATGAAAAGTGTTGCAAACTCATGCAAGTTCAACCATTTTACTAGTGTTTGCTTACTAGTATAAAGAGCAGCCTTTTCTTTTACTTCAGGAAGTAACAAAGTATTGGATTACACTGGAAAGGATCGTGAAGCATATGGATTGTACGAGAATAATAATTGGATCTTTATAACGAGACATGAAAATATATTAAAACAGGACTAATTTCTCATGCTTGAAAGTTTCAGACTGCATCATTTTTTCAGGTACAACTCTAATTACACACATTTCTTTAGTTATGTTTATTTCCTGCTTGTCTTCCAAGAAGTCCAAAAACAGT